CTGCATGAATACATGTATGTTTCTCGCACTGTGACAAAAACGACAGTATCTAGAGCCATCAAATTTTGAATAATGTAACCCTCCACCCGAATATGGGCATCTGGACGGCCGAATTTCGAATTTGTTTTAATCTATTTCATATTTTGCAAAACTTTAACGAGTTTTTGATTAATAAACTCAATGAGTTCAAAGCGAGCAATCGTAACACTGTAAAGAAAATAACATTTTTATCTCCAGTGCGGAAATTCTAAAGATATGCTGTTTTCAAATGTATGTGGTTTACGGGCGAAGAACATGATATTCAATAAATATACGTAACACACAAGACGTTAAAAAAAGGTTCCTTTGGGCGTAATATAAAATCTGAGTGCTTCTAGATTTTATTTTATCTTTTTTTTTCCTTCATTACACTCAGAAAGTTTTATGCTCCGAATATTATAAATTACTAAAATAAATAATCCACTTTAATGTTAATAATTTAATGATGATATAATCAAATAAATAATCGTTTTGTAATGTTATTATAGTTTTGAAAATCACTGCCTGAAAATGTTCATTAATTTTTTTTAAAAAAATTATCAGATCTTCTTTAATTTTACCTTATTTTTACGCAAAATTAAGTTCGTAAATTTTTTGCTTTTACCGTTTTACCAAAGTAAAGATGTTTGTACAAGAATTACGCGTGAAAAAAGTGCGCGAAATGCAGTGAAAACTGCTTTAATGAGATATATTAAATCCTATTTGAAAAAAAACTGTGACTTTCATAATCTCATCACTATATAACGTATCACATTTAATAATCAAAAACAGTTATGTGATACAAACACCATAGGTTTCAGTGTTAACGTAAACCAGATCGACTCTGCTCTTTCTTGCGGACATGTCGTTGACACGCGCCCCACCTACTAGGTTAGTCTATCTCTTATAAGGTCCATGGTTTCGCCGTGTAATGTAACATGTCGCAATGTGATTTAACGACCCAAACATTGAACAGATTCCGTTTAATACATCTTTATTTAAGGGAAAATAGAGAGAACGGCAGAGAACTTATTCCTTTTTTTATTTTCTAAAGCAAACTGGTAAGATTGAGAGAATGTGCGTATGATATCGTATAGCCCAGGGTTTCTCAAATAATGATACATTATATTCGGTGGTATAATTTTTGCTAAAAAGATTTAAATTAATATTCAAAATGATTGTAAAATAGCGCACCTATTACCATTTTGTTTTAATCTTAATGATTCAGTTACATAAATGTATTTTGCGGTTTTAGTGCTTCCTTTAAATTGGTGCCTATGGCGGTGGCCACACTGGCCATATGCTAGTTTTGGCTGTAGGGTTAATACAAAAGTGCATAGATTTTTCCGAGAATTTAATTTGACGAATTATAGCATCACTTTAGCTCGCCATTTTCCTTACCTCGCATTGCGAAAGTTAAATGTATGCGCCCACACTTGTGTTGATGGAGAGAACGACCAATTGGAATAGAGAATTGACCTCTTCATATTTTTATACATTTTATTTACTTACTTTATTTAGATCCAATCCTGTTATAATGCTTGGGAAAAGAACCTGTGTTAGGCGTAGATTTTTAGCAAAGAAACTCAATCATTTCGAGGGTGAACTCCTGATGAAGAGGGTCTTCGATCACCTTCGAAATGGATAGCGTTTCTATAATAAAAATTTACGCCTAACACACACAGGTTGTTGCTTCACTTTTAAGATTCTTTTTTCTTTTTCTTTACGAAAACGAATTGAAATGAAAATTACATTCTCTTCATTCCTTCGCCATAATCAACAAATGAGCAATGGAAGCATCATTTCTACCTAGTTTGATCATAGCTCCAATGACAAAACCACATATTCTTGGAGAATCTTTAATAGTATTTGCAACTAAAGATATTGTGATATCTGTTCTTTGCCCTCCTACAGGAGATTAAATCTAAAGCTAATAGACTAATCATAATTGTTTATCGTTTAAAAACCGTCTAGGTATTAAACTTGAATCAGCACACGAATATCTGATCGCATTTTTTTAAAATTTTAAACGTAAATCTTTGGAGTTATTAGCTTGTAATCTAAGGATTTCAAACTTCTTTTTATTTTAGTTAACTTCATCATATTAACAACCTACCAGCTACTTCAAATTTTCATTTCTGTGACTTTATTGAGGATGGCCTTTAGGTCCTTTGTTAAATAATCTCAAAAACTTTTATTTTAGCATAGTGTGTTTCACTATGTATTTATATCAGTTCTCTTACATTTAAATAGAAAATTTCCTATTTAGATACTTATAAGATGCATAGTTTGTAGAGACATCAGGTTATTTCGAAGCAGATAACGTGAAAAATGAGCAATGCTCTCGCCGGGATCCGAACCCTGGACCTCTCGAATATGCTTGGAGTATGCAAACCGTTACCAACGAAGGCACGCATTAAGGAGGGATAAAATACCTTATATACTCCCCCTTTTAAAGGGCGACTGTGATTAGGGCACCCAGTCGCCAAATCCTGGTGGTGAAGCATCATCATCCACCATCTTTTAGTTCGGGCGCCATTGTAGAGACATTAAATTATTTCGAAACAGAATACGTGAAAAATGAGCAATGCCCTCGCCGGGACTCGAACCCTGGACCTCTCGAATACGCGCCAAGTGTGCTAACTATTACACCACGAAGGCACGCATTAAGAAGGAAGAAAATACCTAATAAATGTGAAGATTTAAGTGTGGGCGGATAATATTTCATTTAACTGAGACTAAAATTTTTGCTATAGCCAAACCCGCTGCCCGCTCTGTCAAATTTTGGGGCCCGCGGAAGAATTCATGAAATTTGGGAAATGCGGCATCAAAAAGTTGTGAGTGCTTTTGCACCAACTTATGTCTGCGAAACATTAAAAAAAATTTTTTTTTTTTTTAAGGATGAAAATCACGAAATTCAAGAAACGTAAATCACATGAGTCCTTAAGTGACGAAAACCTGCAACATCAATTACAATGGGCAAGTACTGAGATTGACTTACAAAACTTAGTGAAAATAAATAAATAAATATCGCATTGATAATAGTAAATATCATATTATTCAATTGTCTTATTGATTATAATTGTTATAACTATTTATGAACAGTCATTATTGTTTAGCAGTTCTATTGTTAGTTTACGAATACGAAGAATGATAAAAACATTAATATTTTATTTTAAATTTTCACCTCAAAAGAATTTATATATATATATTTATATACAATGTGACGTGCCAGAATAAAATACCTTTTCAAAGCGGGCCATAAAGGTTTTTGGATTGGACAAAGTTTTAGGTTATGTTTGCTTTAGCCTAGAGATCAATTGTAAATATTTATCTTCTGGTGCTGACCTGCAGCAAGATTTCCTGGATTTCGATTTTAGAAATGTAGCAGCACATTTTGAAATTAATCGTTATTCAAAGTAAGAGCTTCTTCTTCTTTTTAGTCCAAAGGTAATTTGCCCTGAAGGACTATTATTAATTTCGTTTTGGCATTTTGCGTCAAAACATTTGAAAGGCTGTATCACTTTTCAAATCGTTGCCACAAAATATTATCGCCCTGTATTATATTTAAAGAAATTAAATAATGGAGAATTTGCATAAATGTATGTATGTTTCTCGCATTGTGATAAAACAACGGTACCTACAGCTATCCAATTTTGAATGACGTCATCCTATTGCGAATATGGGCATTTAAAAGCCCAAATTTGAAATTTGTTTTATGAAATTTGTTTTATGTTTTGTAAGACTTTAACGAATTTTTGATAAACTCAACGATTTCAAAGCGAGCCATGGCAACACTCTACGGAGGGGGGAAACCTTTTTATCTCCAGCGCGCGGAATTGTGTATCGGAAATTCTAAACATATGCTCTTTTTAAAATTACTTTGCGACATTGCTGTTGAACTGAATTTTATGGTTTAAGTGCAAAGAACATGATATTAAATAATTAAAGGTAACACACAAGACGTTAAGAAAACACTTCTTTGGACGTAATTTAAAATCTGAATTTTTTACATTATTATTATTTTTTTCTTTAAAACAAGAGACAGGAACTTCTAAACATTTATAATCCTAATGTAACTCCTCCATCGACCTAATACTGCATGTAAATGTGCTTAACACGAGAAGGATGCAATGGCGAATAGAATTTCTTGATTCTGTTTTCTATTAAATTGGGCTGAGTATGACAATGATGCAATAAACGAGTAGTATTTCCTAATTGTGTTTTCGATTAAAGTTTTGTGTTTTGAAATTTTATTTTTTATTTTTACTGCATGGAGACCTTTTATGTCAGTTATTTACTACAAGTATTTACACTGAATGACATATAAAGAGTACATTTCGTCCATCTCCCCCCTCCCAATATTTTAGAACTAAAAAATTATTAGTACAACGAGCTCTTGAAAATATTAATAACAGGCAGGCCATACAGAGCCGTAGCTAGCGTTTTCAGCACCCGGGGACAGCTGAAAATTTTGCGTCCCTTTCTGTCAGCCATGAATGAAAAGCATTTCATTCTAAAATTTCGTAACATCAATTTGGCGCCACATGGATTGGCTACCTCCAAAGACAGATGTCCCCCCTTGCCCCCAACTTAGCTACGCCACTGGGCCGTACGTTTATTCGATATTCTACATTTAAAGTACCTTAAGACAATCTCATATTAAATCGGAATGTTCTTCACTAAACCAATTAAAGCAACTGTTTTTTTTTAATTGCCCCGATAAACGGAAATTCCTTCTGATCAAAATGACCTTGTTGACAGCCTTATAGCTTTTTTTTTTCTCCCCGCTTACAAATTTTTAATCTCCTTTTCCATTATTAAGTGGTATTTTTTCATTCACAGCGTAAAAGGCATATCAAAAAATGCAGTAATGTATCATGGAATGAATCATTATGCAAAATAAAAGTTTCTAATAAAAGTATAAGAATAAAAATGAGCAGTTAAAACTGCTAACTTATGATATGCGTTAAACAAAATACTTATTATTATACTTATTGGTTTATTGAAAAATTTACAGTTTATTGGCGTTAATTGAACTGAGCTGTGAAATTGTACAGATTAGACGTATAAGATAGAAGAAAATGATCAGTAAAGCGCTTTTAAATCTTCCCTTCAATGCGCCTTTTTACTCTCTCTAGTTTCTCTTTCAAACACTCAGCCTCTAGAACATATGCTTGCTTTAACAAATTTTCAAATTTGGCCATCTGCATGGCTTCTGCTTCCATAGATTGTCTGAAATAAGAAGATAAATAACATTGTTAAACACACAGCTTATAATAAAAGAAAAAGAAGTATGACTGTTTAGTTGATTAATCACTACTGTTATGTGCGTGAATGATGCCTCGCTGCTACCAAATCCTGAATTAGAACTAATCTAAAACAAGTTATTTAATAATGAATTTAAGCCATATAAGCCGCATAGCCATATGTGAGAGACTTAGTACACTCCTATCTATATAGTAGTTCAGGGACATCTCGACACTTTTAAGGAAGTCCCTTATTAGAGTGATCTGCACCCTGGTGTCGCATATGGAAACCACTGTATTGGAATTACCAACGAGTGTAGTGCGTCATTGTGAATCGAAAGTGTTGTAAAGTCAGAGATTGATCAAGAAAATAAATATTAATAATATGTCGGGTAAGTTCTTCCTAGTTTGCAATGCATAAGATTGGCTTTGATAACGAAGATAAATGTGGACGATGACTTCGATTTTTGGCGATTTCCAAATGACTAGGTAGTAAGCTCAGGCATTCAGGAACATGGATGTCTACGCAAAAAGATTTCATAGCCAGTCAGAGGGGGGGGGGCTGCCATCTTTCATAGAAATGTGTAACTCGGGAAGATTTCGAAATTAGGTTACGGGAAGATTTCGACAATCGAGTCAGGCAATTTTGCCAATAGCTTTCGAAAATGTAGAACATACCCATAAAATATTTTGGAATTTATTTTGGAAGACAATGTGTTTGAATATGAACTCATGTCAACTACAAATGGCAACATTCCAGTTATGGTGGAGGAAGACAATAACCTCCAGAGGTCATCGTCACCATTTACTGCATCAGTTTCTACATCATTTTCGGAGTTATTCCCTGTACCAGTAGTACAGAACAGAACCACTCTGTACGGAATAGGAGGAAAAAATAAGAATCAGTCATTATAACATCCACAGAATACAGGAGTCAACTGCGCAGTAAAACACCAGCACAGTGAAGTAGACGACAGGGAGGAACTCAACCTCGAGGCCTGTCCTCGAGGGATCTCGAAGACAGTGAAAATTACTGTGGCGAGTGCGGTGGGTACTATTTTGATGATATTGCCGGGCAGAAGTGGGTGAAATGTGTTGGAGAGTGTTGTAGTACGTGGTTCCATGAGGCGTGTGTACAAAATGGGAATCAACCCCAGTTTACGTGCAACAAAAAGGGAGGATATATATTGTTGCATTGTTAATATGTGTTTAGTCAATCTTACCTTTCCATTGTGCATTGTTCTTATTGCTTAAAAAAAAGCCATTGTTCTGAATTGTACCTGCCGCCCTGTAGATACCTGTCGAGATCTCCCGCAGTTAAGAGAGAAGTGGACATCTGGCTTTTATGTTTTTCATTGCATTTATATGACCTATGATGTTTTCCAGGTAAGCCAAATTTTCATAATGTGTTGTAAGGATCTTAAGTTTTACTAACGTTTATTTTATTTTAAATCTTTACTATCACTTCTTATTTTCTACTTCCGGCCAGAATTATAAGCGTTAAGGTTTTTATGCAAAGTTTGTCTGGCGAACGCCAAGTATTTAAGTTGTGGCTTTTTGCCAAGCGAGAGAGAGGAAGCAGTGAGTCGAAGCAGGCCGCTTACCTTAGAAGTTTTACGCAGTTGCTGTTTGCCTTCCAGGCCAGAGGTTTTAATACTCTTGATAAATTTAAACGTATTGTAGTGTTCACAGTTCTCTGTACTACATACGCTTCCTGTTAATATAAGGCCAATCTTCCACGTTTATTATTCTAAAGTTAAATTAGAGTTTAGTTTTATTTTTATACTTTTACGTTTTGACCCCAAGTAGCGGGTCGGTGTATTCCGAAGTACGGAAGTTTTTGCAAATAGAGAAAAATAAAGGGTTTTGTATACCCTTCTTGTGTATCCTGTCTACTTCCCACAGTTTTGAACATAGCTTTAGTAAGCTCTCTGTTCCGAGTCAGGTCCTTGCATGTTCCCGAAGAAGGTAAGAAGGAACATTGACCCTGATAGTGTTACTAATACAGAAATAATTATTTTCTGTAAAAATAAATGATAAAATCCTTAAACGTCAACCAGTTATTCATAATTTCCCTTAAGGTGTCGAGATGTCCCTGAACGACCTTATTTCACTGCATTTCATTTACTAAAAATTTTGATTATTCCTCCTGCGCTCTAATCAGAATTAATGCATCCTCGTCTGTGGAGACTCCCACGATGCTCCGCAAATTAAATATTTAAAGCTCATACACTCCAATATTTAAATAGGATAGGATAGATAAAATAGGTATAGAAGGGTAGAATTAGGGTAGTAAGTTATTGATATTGATCGCGGTCTAGGCGAAACTTGTAGCCTCTGGCAGAAATAGGTTAAATTGTCAGAATTTATAATAGTTTGAAGGAAGCTTGTGTTTATGCCAGACCCAGGTTATTGGTAATTTTGTGTTGCATAATTTAAGTTTAACCCTCTCAAATAGTTTAGTTCTGTGTGTGTGTGTGTGCTTGTTTTACGAGTTTAGCAATTGTAATAGTGATAATTCACCCCATAAATTCTTTGTAGCACATTAATTTCATTGAAAGCGGGGTGTCTAAGTTTAGTTAAACCTCGTATAAGTGTTACAACTTTAATTTCTGTTAAGATGGTGGAAGTTCGATAAGCGCCTTTTCATAAAAGAAGATGGTTAAAATCATTAATTTAACCCACGGTTTTAATATTTTTTAAATCATTGATTAATTATTACCCAAACTTGGCATATGTTCAATAATTAGATATTTCATATTCCTTATAAGTTAGTTAAAAAGAAAAAGCTGCAGAATATTAAAAAAATATATATGCTGACATCGATGTGTGTCGTGATGTGTTGTTCCAGTTTTACATTTCCATCACCACTCTTCGATATCCTTTATTTGATGATAAATCTGATTAGCATTTAGAGACCGCAATAATTTCCCGCTATTTTCGTCCAGTATACGCAGGAGTGATTTAAATGTGTAATTGAAATATTATTCGCTGCTGAAACAATATTCTTTAGTTCCGAAAGAATGATTTTAAAATTTAGTCTGGTGTACAGCTAATTGAGAAACATTTTAGGACTTAAAAGAGCTTTAAAGCTCATATTTTTATTCAAATCAACAAAAGATTTACCAATGACTCAAGTTCAAATACATTTTTTTAAACTTGTAGTGGATGACACTTGATGTTAATACAGTTTTTTCACATATTAAAAATTTTTAATTTTAATATGCGTTTAATATGTTTTTTTTTTTTTTTTTTTTTTTTTTTTTCCCTTTTACCTTATTTGTTTGCAAATTCAGTCATCAGAAAATGTCGGATATGCATTTAATGGGATGTTAGTTGGGCAGATAATGTAATAAGTTTGAAAAATAGATTAATACAACTAGAGATATGCAGTAATTAATACTAACTTGAGCCATAAATTTTTATGAAAAAAAAAATTTAGGGGGAAAAAAAGAAACGAGTTTTAAAAAATAAATTGATTTTAAATATTTTTAGGAGAAGTGTTATGACTTTTTATTCATAGTAATCTGAAGCAAATCAAAAATTTTATAGCATGTGATTGAATATGAATAAATCTTTATTCAAACTGTCTTCATATTTTTGTAATTATAAATATGAATTTAGAATTAAAACTGTCCAGAAATATAAAAAAACGTATTCCAGACGTAGAAAGATAGCAGGAAGTTAAAAAAACACACTATAGTAGTATAGGAAGCGTACAAAAAATGAATAACAAATACCGAATAAATAAAAATTTACACTACTGTCATTGCGATAGTTGCAAGGATAACAGCAATATTCCGGGAACATCTCAAAATGTTACTCCTTTCTTTGATATCTATGATTCTAGAGTAGCACGACAAAGACAAAACATATATTAATAAATAAATTTATGAGGGAAATAACTTTAAGGGACATTTGAAACTTTTAAAAGAAAAAAATAGTGTGTTTACACTCGGAGGGGGAAAGCAATTTTTATAAAATAATAATAATAAATGCCCGTTCTTTTTCCGGCATCGAAAAAAACTCTTAGCAAGTAATGTTTTGGTCGAAGTTTCTGATCTAATTCAACAAAGTGATTTAATTTAACTAATCAGATTTTTTCTTCTGTTACCGCATCTTCTTCAGAGAATACAGTTTTGTTTTGAAAGCACTGATAAATGGTATCCTCAACTTATCCAAACTCCAAGAAATTTGATGTAAAAGTCATGCATCTAATCATTCAACTTGGGAGATATTTTAGAAGGAAAACTTACCGAACAACATCATTCCATTTTGAGATTGAGTTTTTCATATCATTGGCAAATACTGTTTAAAAGAAATAGGTACATGAAATATTTCAAGTACGTTTTTGTTAATACAATATTTTAAAAAAGATTATTAAAGATTTTGAAGATTTATTCTTGTTTATTTTACATTACATGGAAGAAAAACACGAAAACATTTCGCAGCCAGTAAATTTAAAACATTAACTGTACATCTATTGAATTTGTTTTTAATATTTGTTGAATCGTATAAATTCAATACATATCAACGGTTAATGCTTTACGTGTATTTATTGAATTCAGTATAATACCGAAAATCTTTTCTTTTCCTTATCATTACAGTTGCAAGAATATGCATCTAGAACTTTCAATTGACCTGGTTTTTGATGCAAACGAAAGCAATTTTCTTTCAGGCAACACTTCGCAGATCGAAATCGTCTGGAGTCGTTGGTGATCGAACTTAAAACAGTTTCATTGTAATTAGAGAAAAAGTTCAACGCTTTAAAATTAATCCATAGAACTATCCTATAATTTACTATATCAATTAGCTATGTTAGTTTATGATCAAATTTTTATTAAACATATAACATGTATGTGTAAAAACATATAAAAGCTTTATGTGGATATAAAATATATGATTTTGAAAGAACGTAACAAACCTTCTATGATTTGGCCAGGATGTAGATTTTCTAATTCTCGATCCGTAACCAGCAATGCGTCATCTAAATTTTGAAAACAAATATTACTCATAAATTAGACATTTTGTTAAGCGTAGTATACTGTTCTACTAATACGCACAACCGTTACAGAACTAAATAGGAACAATAAGCAAAATTAAGGCAACTTTTTAAATAAAAAATTTCTATTAAAACATATTTATTTGTAAGTATGGAATGTAAAGACTGTGCCTTTGTGTCCTCTTAAATACGGTTACTCATCTCTATATCTTGAACTTGACCAGAAAATTTGTAAGATTGAGATGCCCACTGCTCAAATCAGAGCCACTGCTTATGAAACTATTGAAAGAATATATCCCAGTAACCTCTGTACCCATGTTTACACCAATGAGCGAGGTACTGGAGCTGGTGCAGTAATCTATTCTAACAACTACACTGCTGGCCATTAAAATTGCAACACCGGGAAGGAATGATCCGATGAACGTCAAAATCGCAAAGGAAGAAGCTGGGATATGCAAATAATTAGAATTTCAGCGCATTTGCAGGAGGAAGAAACGACATCTGAAGCACTGCATAAAAGAAAAGTTGTGTAGTGGATTACTATTTCGGAAAGTGTGTTTCAAGGTTGGAGTTTGCTCAGAATATCGTGTTATACCTTGTATATAAAGAGAACATTCTTACCAACAAGTTTCGAAATTCGACACTGGCAGGATCGTTGCCTATCGAAAGTGTAGATTATCGTTCCGTGATATCGCCGGTCGCATTGGTCGACATCCAACCACTGTCATGCGAATACGGAATCAATGGATTGCTGAGGGTCATACTGAACAACATGCAGGATCTCAACGCTCTCCCATGACTAACGCTAAAGAGAACAGACATATTGTGAGGTCAGCCCTGAAAAACCGTACGACCAGATCACGGACCATTAGTCAGGAAATGGGCACGTTTGCAGCACGCCCAGTATCAGCTCATGACGTGCGCCGACGTTTACAGCAGCGTGGACTATTAGCAGGGTGACCATTACTTCGGCTTCACTTCACAGTGCAGCATAGTGGGAGACGGCGACTCTGGTGCGCCAAACGACAAAGCTGGGTACAACGTCGGAGGGGCACAACGTCGCCTTTTCAAATGAGTCCTGGTTTTAGTTTAAGTATTCTGATGTCTGCAGTGTTGAAGGAGACCGCGCGTCACCTGCTTGCATTCGATTTCGGCATAGGGGCCCTGCACCAGGTGTGATGATTTGGGCAGCCATTGGGAACATGACACGCACATCTCTAGTTCGGATCGACGGTAATTATGTTGAGTACATTTCTGGCATCTTACGTCCGGTGGTTGTGCCCTGTTTTTGAGGCCTTCAAATGCCGTTTTCCAACAAGATAATGCAAGACCACATATTGCACGTCATATTCTGACCTTCCTCGATACACAGGGTATTCGATTGCTGCCTGCACGGTCTCCAGATCTGTCACCCATTGAAAACATCTGGTCATGGATTGCTGAAAGACTGGCTACCACCCCTCTCCATGAAGATGAAATGTGGCACAGACTTGAAGCAACATGGATTTAGTTGCTCATTCCTGTCATCCAAGCCCAGTTTATGCCTAATGGGGTAAGAGCCTTTTTAGCTGCCAGGGGTGGCAGCGGTTTCTACTGATTTCGCACACCTGTAAACCTCCAAAATGTTTACAAGTTTAATCATTTTGTCTTCATGCCATACTGTTTACGTGCAATAAATATCTTTTTCATATTTGCTTTCCTTCATAATGTTGCAATTTTAATGGCCAATAGTGTATAAGGTAGTAGGAAGAGATACTACCAATTTTTATGGGGAAGTTGAGAATTTGTGCATAGTTGTTTGGATAATATTAACCTCAATAACATTTAAATAATAGGGGATGTATTTTCCAAAATAGGAATGTAATTTAACTAATTTAATGCAAATATAACTAGACACATACAAATACTTGCTTCCACGCCATTTTATTTTAGAACAGATCTGTAAGTGTTACACAAAAATTAATTTATGAGCTGATTCAAAGTTTCTGAAAATTACTTGACTATTACTTCGTATCTCAATACTCCGAATGCATGCTTCTAATCTCAACATATGTAGAGAATTCATCAATTTCAATTTCACCTTCTTCAGACAGTTTCTCACATGATGTGTTTTGATTTCTTTTTTCAGAAAGTGAGTGGCAGTTATCTTCTGTCATCAATGTCGTAACTTGAATTTTTTTCATCATTATCCATCCATGCGTTAAATTCGACACTATTCATGTTTGTTTTAGAAACTGATTTTTCTTCTTCAATTTCCTTTTAATTCATCATTTATTTAAGGCCTGGCATACTTACAATACGTAGTTCTGAACTGGCTTTTCTAACTCGTGGCTGCAAGATACATGTTCGGAAATGTAGCGCATCAAGAAGGTCAGTTTTCCTTGCGAATTCATTTACATTTATATCCAAATCATCCACCTTATAAAGAATTCTAATACTCATCTCAAGGTATAAATATTCTTTCATCGCTCCTTTCATCACATTATTGAATTGTGATACAATATGTTTATGATATGCATTTACGTTATGCGCTTTGCAATTATAAACTAAGAATAAAATTAATATCATTCTCCATTTAGTTATCCCATTCCGAAAGACATTCTTTAACTTACTTTATCAATTAGTTATTACCATCATCCACGCCTTGAATTACGTCTGTAGTCCACTGGGGAACTCATTACTACTATAATGCATCGAAGATTTTCTTTCTTTTATTGATTACCAACATATTTCTTTTATAACCACACATTAATGTTTGCTGCAGCCTAAAACGATCACATGCCCTTTTGATAGTTTGTATCCTTTTGAACTCAGTTTTAATAACTGTGTATATTGGGGCAATGCAGAATAATACAGACCTGTTTTATTTGTATTATACGTATTTTTACAGCAGTACTTTGTAGACAATTTAGACTATTTATTTGACCAATCATTACGTTCTTATAGCAGGTGAATGGGCATCTTTTTTTCTTCACTATTAATGCATTTGTAAACAATGGGGAATTTGTAAAAAATTACGGGAATATTTTTAAAATTTCCCAAACCTGGTATTAAAAAGCTAGGGAGAAAAACACGCGAGAAGGAAAAATAAGCCAGCAAATGCGGTACTAACTGTCATATCTGTGTGACCGTTCCCACTGCACATAGATTTTATGATTTCATTTCAATTTTCCTTTGATTTGCGAACAGCATCTTCAGGATTTTTTAAAATTTTGTATCAGAGGAGTTGAAAGACGTTTATTAAGAAAAGCATTGCGTAGACTGACTTTTGGTAGCTGGTCTAACAAGTCTACTTTGTCCCACAGACTGAGATCACGACGTTTTTTAGGCTTAATAATTTTTAAAATGTTCAAAAAGAAATAAAAGTAGCTACAAATTATGAAAATGACTAAATAGAATAAAAAATTAAAGCTCCCTAGGAAATAACATTCATCAACGTGTAAGGCTCAGAATGCAATGAAAAGATTTTTTTGGCGCAAAAAAAGCAAATTTACCTATAATTCAAGCTTTTTTAAACTTGTTACTCCAGCAAATCTTCGAAAAACTTGGGAAAAGGGTTCCTTTATACAAGAACATGCCAAAGTAACATTTAAAACTAGATTAAAGGAAAAAAAAAATCTTAGTTTGGCACAGATTTTTTGCATAAGCCAAAACAAATTCTTCAGTTTTCCCCCCCCCCTCCTGAAAATGAGTCTGATCCCCCTCGAAATCGACAGAGTTACTGAGAACCTATCCCAAAGTAAGGCTGCTTTTTGCCTAATTTTAAATGATTGAGTAAAATCTAAACCAAGCAGTTTGGCGACATTTATCAGTACTGGAAAATTTTATAATTTATTTTGACCTTATTTGGCAACTTTATTTCAGTTTAAAAAATTGATTCTGAAATATTTTGATAATATTAACGGACTTGTTGATCATAATAGGCGAAATATGTTTCATATTTTCGTATTACAAACGGACGGGATGTAAGCAATCTGATTAAAAATATCCGAAAGAAGGCATTAACCGCCATCACATTAAGCGGCGTCTATTATAGTATACTAGCAGTTGCCAGCCTTCGTCTGGCTTTTAAATGTACCGGAAAAATGGCTGAAGGAAACACCAAACATTAAATTTAAAAACTGCGTAGAATTTTACTCTGCAGAACAATTTCATAAAAAAAGTTATTACGTATAACAAAATTAAAATTAAATAAGCAATATCCCTAAATACAGACATTAATTATCCTAATAAATAAATTAACCAACTTCCCTTTGCAAAATCTTAAGAACTCAAATGGTATAAAGGAGGTTAAGAATTTTGTTTCCTAAAAAAAAAAATCACTCAAAACTTTTCAATATCTTAAAGACAGTGAAATAAGCAATAAATAACATAAAAGAATACAAAAAACAAAAAATTCTGAAAAGCAAAGTATAATTAATGATATTTTATCTTATATTTTCAAGAGAAGAAAATTGCAATGAAATAAGCTATATCTCTTAATACAAATATTAATTATCCTAATTAAAAATTAACCAACTTTCCGGTGAAGAAAAAAAATCGTGTAAAACTTTTCAATATCTTACAAATAGTGAAATAAGCAAAAAATAACATGAAAGAAACTCAATTAACAAAAAGTTCCGCGCAGAAGTTTACTCTGGAGAACAACATTATCAAAAAAAAAAAAAAAAAAAAAAAAAAAGCTTCATTTAAAAAATGTTTTAAAATTACAAAATATTATCATTTTTCCAAAATTCTTTTTGTAAAAGCAGCCGCAAGGATGAAAGTTTAACGTGTCCAAAAATCAAAGAAAAATAAACTGTACATTTTTAAAAATAAACTTTTTTAGAAAAAATCCCGTTGAAAAGGTGTTAAGCTAACTTTGTTAAATAAATTCGTATTTAATCGATTTATTGAAACACGAAATTTATTTTAGGTTCGTAAAATAGCTAAGTGCCTACGTTTCATGACAATGTGAAAATGGAGTGTGTAGAATAAAATCTCGCTTTCCTATAGCCCATTATGTCTCAAAATAACGCGATTTTGTCACAAAACATAAAATAAAAAAAAATTCGAATTCGAATTTCGAAAAAATCGCTTCGAGGTGCACTGGCTCTTGTCTAGATGCACCTATGTACCAAATTTCGTAGCCGTGGGTCTATTAGCTTACGCGCAGCGCGAACGAAAGACACACACACACACACACACACACAGACAGACTTTCTTTTATTATATGTAGAGAAATGTAATTAATAAATTACGAAATACTACTTACTATAGCTTAACTAATACGAAGAAAAAAATTCTTGATAAAAAGTACGCATTAATTACAAATAGTAATTCAAAGAACATAAGCAATAAAAAAATTTTGTTTTCAATTCAAGGATACTTTTATCGCAATTTTAATTATTCACGAATGTAAAAGTGAGCGTGGCTTTCTTCTACAAGTAATCATCTACTAATCACACACACACACATGCACAAAAAGAAATGAATAAATAAAAAAAATTAATGATATAAAGATTTTACATGCATAATAAGATAGTAAATTTCTTAAAACATTTCTTCATACCTTTAAGACCCACTTCCTGAGAGAGTTTATCTTCTGGATTCATATTCTCCATCACTACATATATATAAAATTAGAGTTTATTTAAACCAGGAGATTCGCAGTTTAATAGATTATTACCATGCTGGTGCTTAGCTAATAACTAATAAAACACTACAAAAATTTAAAAAAAAAAAAAAAAAAAAACATCTGAATGCTTTCAGATTTTATATTACGCCCAAAAGGGCGTTATTTAACATTTTGTGTGTTACCTTTATTGATTAAATATCATCATCTTCGCACTTAAACCACATAAAACTCGATTCAACAGCAATATCACAAAATATTTAAAAACAGCCTATCTTTAGAATTTCCGATATACAGGCTCGCGCGGTGGAGATAAAGATGTTTTTCCTTTTTCCGTGCAGCGTTGCGATTGCTCGCTTCGAAATCGTTGAGTTTGTTAAGCAAAAATTCATTCGAAATAAAACAAATTCGAAATAAAACAAATTCTAATAAAACAAATTCGAAATTCGGGCTTCCGAGTGCCCATGTTCGGTTGGAGGACTACGTTATTCAAAACTGGATGGCTCTGGGTACCGTCATTTTTTCACAGTGCGAGAAACATTCATGCGAATTCTTCATTATTTAGTTTCTTTAAATGTAATACATGGCGATAATATTGGGTGGCAACAGTTTGGAAAGTGAATCAATGCAAAAAGTGAAACGACGCAAACTGCCCTTTTGGGACTAATAGACCTTTCGTCTAACGCCCCTTTGGGTTAATACAAATTTAAGTGTTGAGCTGCAGAAAAGTATTTTAAAAAACCAGAAAAAACACGCTGTCTCATATTATAGACAAGGCGATATTTTGTTGTATAGCAAGGCTAACCACAGCGCGGCTTGCGAGCCGCTTGTGGCTCTAGCAGCCAAGTGGTGCGGCCTTTAATCCAATTAAAATATATGTATGAAATACGGTAGACTAAAATTACTCAGTGTTTAAAATTAAGGCAAACTGTCACTTAATAATAACTGTTTAGAATCAGACGTTTCTTTCCATTTGAAACCTATTTCAATACTTTTAAAGTGATATAAATATGGACTTGTGGCTTTTGGAAAATCAAATTGCGGCTCTCAAATTTTCCTGAGGCTCATAAAAATAATTTCCAAATTTTCGAAATGCGAATTCGAATAGCGGCTACCATGTTTTATCGCCGAATTTGGCAAATTCAATCGCCCAATCTATTAATTTGGTAAATTTTAAATTCCGTTAAAGGTTTATATGGTGTCTGTTTCAACAAGGAAGTGCCATTCTTTGAAATTAAACGATCTTTTGAATTCTCTGAATAATTTTTGGTACTTACGTATTAGCGAAAGCACCTTATTTCGACCGTCTCAATCGTAACCTTGGCTGGCATTCTGCTAAAACAAATAGACTCGTCCAAAAAGGGCGTTATTACTTGCTGCGAAGTGGAAAATCACGTGAAAGTCTTCTCTACTCCGGAAAGAAAGTCTCCATCCTTCCACCCTATTTTGAGAATAATTCGGTCCGAAAGGCGCATGCGTGTTTGCGCTCATGGTCGCGTATGAGGCGGTCGAATTATAGTCGCCAAATTTTGAGAATGTGCCAAACTCTGAAACTTTGAGCATAACCCTTCTTCCAGCAGCCATGCAAATAACAATCCTTGAGACAAGCAACACCGCAATTTTCGTACGCGTTTAAAATATGAACTTGTGGAATATGCCAGAATTGGAAGAAACTTCGGAAAAATTTCTGCAAGAATACAGAAATTTACTGAAAATTTTCTGAAGGGAATAACGGGAAAATGCGTTTCTTAGATAGCCGTTGTTGCCGAGGGTTGCACGAAGCCTAGTCTCCGCAATTCCCTGATTTTTTTAAGCGCAAACAAGATCGCAGTGTATTTCGAGAGAAGAATAGAGCAAAAAAATAACAGAAGGATTAAGAAAAATGTAAGTGCTATTTTAATGTATCTCATAATCTTTATTTAATAATTAAAATTTGTATTTAAAATTTTTGAAATATATTTTTTTTTTCATACGCTGATAATGTTTACCGACTAACGACAAACATTAACAGTTTAGAAATCTTTCTAAAAAAAAAATTTCTGACGTGGACACCACATGACTTCCGGCCTATTAAAGTTTTTTTTTTTTTTTTTTTTTTTTTTTTTTTTTTTTCTGAGCTTTATTTAAACTCTTTTCTCGAATTTGATTAGAGATATATTTCTCATTCAATCAGTTCAGTTTTTACCTCGCGGCAAGTCAAAAATATATAAAAACTCAAATAGTATAACAAATTGTAAAATATAGAAAAACCTAAAAAACGCCGAATACAAACAGTTAAATTTTTTTTTCAATTAAAATTAGAGTTTTTACGTCAAAACAAGCAATTTGGCCAACGGGCAAGAAGCTACAATTTTAGGTGCACAACTATTTAAAGTTAATTTTTGGCCCCATTTGGCAGAAAGACACTGAAGTTTGTACACCAGTTTACTTAATTCACTTTTCCACTGAGTTTAAAATCTAAACAAATAGCCGAAGTTAGGCCTAGCGCCAATTTTCAATTGTTGATAATTCTACAAGTGTTGCATGCAGATTAACTAAAGGCATAAAAATCTTAACTGGAACATAATTCACTTTCAAAGCAAAAAATGCACAATTTACCACCATATAAGAACAAAAAGAACAGAACTCACCAAGGAAGGTAAAAGTTGGATATACACCAAGGGTAAAATGTATAAAATTCTTACTTCATGATAATTTTTCAGCAGCTTAATGCGCGGAAATACTAAAAAATTGTTTTGTAATTGCATATATATATACGGCGCTTTATTTACAAACACAGATTCAATGGCTTTGTAATATACTGCTGGTATAAAGAATTAACTAGTATTCAATAGGAAAAGAATGAATGTTGAGAGGCAAGAGTTTTAACAATAATTTAACAGAGGTTTGTACAGACAATAAAAAAAAATTTTTTTTTTCAATAAAAAAAATTTTTAAAAAAATCGGAGGCGCCAATCTACTTGTCGAAATTGATGACAGCCTTTTCTCAAAATGTAAATCTCCTTGGCAATAGCTGTTTGGAGGCATTTGCAAAGGAACAAACGATTGTTTTATGGTAAAAGTTCCAGATAACGCTTATGCAAGGTTTGGCCAAATGGCGGAATAAAAAACAACGTGAGCCAGCGCGACACCACTTACTAGATTCTTATACTATGGCTAAATTCATGTTATATATTCTTCACGAAGAAAAATACATATTTGCTTCTATTTTTCTTGCAATTACAAATTTTATTCTGCCAAAATGATTGGCGGCCAACAAGATTTTCACATGAGGTTTTCGGATTTTCGTCAACTTTTATGATCGACTGGATTTTTACAGAAATAATTTACATTCTGAGTTTTCATATTTTAAGCCCATATTCTGTCATATTTCAATTAAAAACTGATATATTAATCTCTTTAAAAACAGGGATAGGTACTAAAATTTAACCGCCACTATACTATATGGCTCTACAAATTTCAGACATAAAATATAAAATACATAAATCAAACAAGACAAATTAGTTTAATTACGAATATTAAGTTTAAGCACAAAAATAACTAAAAAGCATTTACATATATTTAGCCTAACCATCACAATTTGTTGTGAAAGCCACAGTGATTTCTCGCGGAATAATAATAAGGCTGTGAGAAAATCCAGTTTAGAAATTACCATTTAAATATATTTTAAAAAATAAAACATGCATCAAGTAAATTGTCGAATGTGTCGAGTAAATGTGGAGCTAATTCATATCGAAATAAAACGTCGCTTTGTTACGTCAAGGTCGTTGTAATTCTAATACGACCCTTTAGAAGCCAACTGAAAATATATTAATTTTAAAATAAATTAAAAAAATAATTACATTTTAGAGCTCGCATACCGAAAACTATGCTTTATAACTGATGATTTTTTTATCACACACATTCAGTTAAATTTGGAATATTTCTCATTTATTACCCTCATTTACAATCGTAACTGGATTTCTCTTTTTAGAAATTAGATAGATAGCTTTCTGTTTTAGTTATTTTTAGAAATCTTTAATTATTCAAAATAATAAAACGTGTTATGCTTTAAAAATATATTCCTTACCTACCTCCTGTAAAATAATGCCCACGATACATAACTTACGAATACCACTTAAATATTATTATTTTGGACACATATTCTATTCTTTGTGGAAACCAATATTGTGTTGCCACTCTCGAGTCCATTAATAGTGAAATTCACAAAAAGACAGCATTTCCCCCCCTAAGTTTTTTATTGTAGGTTTAAACTATTCTAGGCGCTTTGTGAAAAACTGGTTTTTCGAACATATTTTATTTATAGAAAGTACTTAACATTTGTCCCAAGAAAATATTTATGTAAAAGGTTATTTATATTTAATATACACACACCAAAAAATTTTATGAATAAAAAGTAAGGATTCGAAATAATAAGCCATATTTGTGTTCTGCTGTGTTTATAACGTAAGTGAAGATCGTCTGCTTAGGTGAAAGGATAATGCATATTTGTTTTGTAAAAGAAAATGAATAATATTTCGTTAACCATAATTATTTTTCTAAATTTAATACTTTATTTTTTACATAAAAAGGCTGGAGTTTTCTTTTTTAATTAAATTCAGCTTTTAAAACCATGTGAATTATAACAAGTATAAGTTGGCCTTTATTATAAACACAGATATGATATGGGCGAGAAATTTAAAACTAATCCTCCGACGTTAAATGTATAGTAAATAAATTTTTAAATAATGATTTTAGATAATAATTATTTAAATTTTTAAATAAATGTCTAACACGAATTTTTTGGGGGGAGGGGGAACTGTTTACCTCGAAGCAGTTTGTTGCGATGTAATGTGAATGAATTCGATACACATCCTCTTTTTTAAACACAAAATTTATATTAAGTAGTTGCACAAATGTAAGTATAAATAAGAAAATTACATATAAATCTTGTAGATGCGAGAACAAAAATAATGAAAAATAGACAGTATTCCAGCTGCCTTGACAATGCAATCGTTTGAATCCGACTGTTCAACTCTTTGTTTCTGAAATTAATGTTCTTTGGCTTAGTGCCAAAGCGAAACAGAGTTAGGTTGAGTTGTTCTGTTCCGGTGCACCGGAACACAGTTCTTGAAAGGCGCAATAAAGGTACTATATCTGAGATCAGGAGAGGGAGGGACAAGAAAGAAAAAAAAAATACCGGCTTTCGTCTCATTTTATTTAGGGATTCAGAAGCAGATGCATGCTGCCCTAATGAGTGTAGTGATTAGTGTTACTGCCTGCCTTATCGTCGGGCCCAGGATCGAGGTCTAGAAAAGATTTGAATACTTTTAAATGCATAGAGTCTGTATGTCATTAGAGCACTTAAAAATGCTAGCGAGCAATGATTTGATAGTAGGGAGAAGAGGATGGGAGATCGGCTGACCCTGTGGTGCACTTTTGGCTCGGGCCTTGTAAGTATCTAGAAGGTACTGCGCACTTTGGGCAATGTTACCGACGATGAGACGGCTAGCTGACAGAAGGTTTTGGCCTTTCGCGACGAATGCTTAGATTACCATGTGCATAATATACACAGTGCATTAGGAGGAAGGGGCACCCAGACTTGGCTAACTCGTGGCTGCCTTAACACAGTTAAACGCCTCAAATCCTAGAGGCGATCCAAGGAGATACAACCCCCCCCGGTCAACCCAGGGGAACAATTGTTGTTTCACCAAGTCTGGGTAAAAAGTCACAGTCAATGGTGAACGGCTGCGTATCCGCATAGAAAGCATAGAACACAGTTCGACATCTACCGTCTCCCCCCAAAGTTGACCATGGGAAGCCAAACCCCCACGGACAACCTTAGATATCCAAACCACGTAACGTCCCCACAATCAAGGGACAGGCCATATGGTCCCTGCCGAGCCTGAACCTACCACCGAATAAATGGTGACTTTGCAAATGCGGTCGCAAAGAGCAAGAGACTGACGTTAAGTACGGAAGGGGAAAGTAAACGGCTGTGTCAGGGATTATAAGGGGAGATATATTTTAAAAGAAAGGTGTTTTTAGGTCTCATTCAGTAGAGTTCTCCTCTGTTCTTCACTGTAAGTCAGTAATGGGTATAAGGATGCACATGGTATCAGAATGGGGACAAATTACATAGGATACGAAAAGTTTTGAAGTGCTCTTTTATGTATCATTAAACAGCTTAATAATATAAATATGCACTTTTTGGTTTACTAATAAATAAATAATTAATATTAATAAATACGCTTTTTAAAAAAATAGTACATAAACATATCAGTAATAAAGTATTTATAACTATTTTTAGTAATAGTAATAGATTAGTAAATATCCATATCATTAATGTAATTAATGAAAGGCATTTGAAACCAAAATATGATTTGCATTAGTAAATTATAATTAAGAATAATGGCCCCCATTGTTGTGATTATTATTTTAATAATTTAAAGATTAAACCCGATAGTATCTTAAGATGGTTTTGCAGTTGGAAGAACAAGAATATAGCTCACTTTGATTCACCTTTCTTTTCTTTATGAATGACGAATATCCGTTTGCCATACACGTGATCAAATAGGGAGTAAGTGTTTAATCCATAAGATAAATAAGTATTGATTAACATTTCCTATAACTACTTCTAATTGGCTCCTAAAGACCTCTTTACTATTTTAATTGTAGTGGAATGCATAGGACTACTTAAACATGATTTTTTCACTGGCAAATGCTTAATATTTAATATGATATTTGTTATTTTTTCTTTATAAAGCATTTTGTAAATGTAATACGAGGGTTGGAACTTTAATAGTGGCAACTATTTATTTACAAGGAATACAAAAGTGATTCATGTCACCATGTTTTACAGTCCTTCAATATAGTCGCCAGCATTGTGTACAACCCGTTTCCAACGATGTGGAAGTCGCAGAATACCTGTAGCAGCGCCTGTTTTGTTGATAGTTTGAATGGACCGGTCTACTGCCGCAAGAATCTCAGGAACAGTTTGGAAGCGAGTGCCACGAAGTGGTTCCTTCATCTTAGGAATTAAGTCATAGTCACAAGGGCTTAGATCTGGGGAGTATGGTGGATGGTAAAGCACTTCCCAGCCCCATCGCTTGAACAAATCAGTCACAGCTTGCGCTGCATGCGGCCGAGCATTGTCATGCAAAATGAGAGGAGCGTTCTGCAGAAAGTGTCGCCGTTTTTTTCTCAAAGCTGGTCGGAGATTGTGCTCCAAAAATGAGCAGTAATACTGCGCAGTGACGGTCTGCTGTGGGGGAACGGTATGCGTTAGGATGACACCATCACAGTCGTACACGAGAATCACCATAACTTTCACATTGCTGGGGTTCTGACGAAATTTCGAACGTCGTGGTGACCCGTGATGACGCCATTCGTTTGATTGGCGTTTCAGTTCTGGCTGGTACGATCGGGCCCAAGTCTCATCCAGCGTAATGATACGGCGTAAAAAAGCATCTCCTTCGCGCTCATAGCGCTCCAGGTGGGTTCGGGCAGCATCGTATCGTAGCCATTTCTGCATTTCCGTCAATTGATGTGGAACCCATCGTGAAGCAATTTTTCTCATGGACAGGCGTTCCTTCAGAATGTGCAGCACAGTCGTATGCGCTAATCCTGTTTGTCCGGCCAGCTGACGAATCGTTTGGCGGCGATCACTGTCCATTAGTGCGGCAACAGCTTGCACGTCTGCATCGCTGACACTCGGACGACCTGGCCGCAGCATGTCTGCCACGTTTTGGCGTCCTTCATTGAATGCTTTCACCCATCTTGCTACGGTTCTGTAAGGCAATGCAGATTCCCCGCAAGCCTCTTGAAGCCCTTGATGACACTGTCGTGCTGTACGATCTCTGGCACATTCAATTTTATCCAAAATTGTTGTTCTTGTTTTGAAAACATCCTGACAACACTTACTTTAGACCGCGAGCTAATACAAGGATTCGTTCTTCGCGTCACTCCGCATGCGCGTGACGTAGGCAGGACGAGTCTTTTTGCTGAGAGGTAAGGTAGGTATGTAGTTTACGTGTGGTATACGCGATATTCTTTGGTTTTGTTGCGTAGCGTTTTTTCAGCTGTGTTGCCACTATTAAAGTTCCAACCCTCGTACATACATACATAACGTAAGCATACCATAAAGAAAAATGAACCCCAACAAAAGCTGATCGACTTTTGAACTCAAAGAGGGTTTATTAGAGGGGAAATGCAATTAAATTCCTTTATGATTTTATTTATTTACTTATCGTTTATACTAATTGTAATGGATTGGAGTATTTGAAATGAATTGCTGAATATTTAAGAAAATATTATGACTGCGAGAATAGAAAAAACATTTTTTTGAATATTGCTTTCTTATAGAATGCAGATGAATTCATTTTTACATTTTCATCATTTTCATTGTATTTCCCGTAATTCAGGTATAACTTATCTTCTTGGAATCTTATGGGATTTGGATAATGATACATTAAAATGTAATCTTAACTATTCAATGGATAATGAGATAAGTAAACGTAATATTTTGGCTATGGTACATAAAATTTTTGATCCACAGAGTTTTTTGAGTCCAACTACCTTGTTACCTAAGTTACTATTACAGGAGGCTTGGACTATGAAATTAAAATGGGATGATCCCTTGCCAGAAAAACATTCAGAAACTTTTCATAAGTGGCAGGATGAAATTAAATATCTTGAGAAAATTAGTATTCCACAATAGTAGAGATAAATGAGAATCAGAGCTGCATCTATTCGTTGATGCATGTAAGAGCTCCTATGGTGCATGTGTTTACATTAGAACTGTAACCCCGTGGGAGTCAAAATTCGATTGATCAGAGCCAAATCCACGGTAGCGCCGTTAAAATCTCTGACAATACCTCGGTTAGAATTGATGGCCTGTTGCATTGGCGCGAGACTGGTTCACTCAGTATACGCCGCCTTTGATTTGCCTGATTTGAAAATTATTGCATGGAGTGATTCTATGGTAGCACTCTGGTGGATTAAGAACCGTGGTGATTGGTCAGTTTTCGTTGCGAATAGGGTAAAAGAGAGAAACAGTCTGATTCCTTCTCAGTGTTGGCGCCATGTTCCAGGGGAATTAAACCCGGCAGATATGCTTTCATGAGGCAGTTTCCCTCGTTCATTTTCAGATTCTCTTTGGT